GCCAGCTACTGTTTTGTGTTTCCCCGAAGGACTGTTCCTCCAGACCGTGGCTCCACTCTCTCCTCCCAGGCAGGTCAATGCACAGTCGCCTATCTTTTTCCACTATTGCCTTCATCTCTCTGTCCCTACCTTCAGTAACCACCATCACCATCGACCAGCCCAGGAGTGACCCCCACCTACGCAGCTCGGCCCAGCTCTCCATCTCCTCACCTCCTGTGGTTGGTCAAACACCCGGTTACTACTCATCTACAGGACTACGTATCATTTCCCTCTGTGTTTTTGTCATTCCCTTGTTCACTGTATATAATAAATCACTGTATGCACAGAAGCCGGCTACCTGGGTCCGCCTCTTTCCTCGTTCGCACACTGTCTAGTGCGAATGGCTCCTAACAGTATGTGTCAATCAAGATATATGCAAGAATTGATCAATGATTAATTACATGGACAATTGTGGGTGTGGTGTACATTTTGTAATAATTCTTTAGTATATTACTTGTGTGATGTAAGAATGTTAACACTGTTGTAATCTTTTCAGTATAATATGTGTGTGGGTTAGAGAATTATTTACTGCTTGCAAACCAATGATGGTAAGATGATGTCATGGGGTAGGACTGGATAAGTCTGACTTCTTCCTACTCCATTCAAGCATGTACTAGGTATAAGCAAATTGATATTGGATTATGTGTAAAATTATGTGTGTTGTCATATCAACTGTTTTTACATGCTTGAAAGAATAAATCAAATCAAATCAAATCAAATCTTATCACATTGAACTTTGAACTTACATAAAAAAAATAATAAATGAAAAAGAAAATAAACATTGTGGGGTGTCTTAACATATGCACACCAATAACCCATTTGTTTTTTTTAACCAGGTCCCCTGCAAATAAACAATATTAACTGGTTACCTCTGAACAACAATCTGGCAAAGACCCAGTCTCTCACAAAGGCAAGGCAGAAACATAGGTCGATAGAACAGGCAAGGTGTCGATCTCAGGATAGCAGTCGGGCAAGAGGGAGGAGGCTGGATCACAGGTCGGTAGAGCAGGCAGGGGTTCAGTATCAGGATAGCAGTCACTGTAAATTAATGCTGGAGAGTCTAGACAGGGCATAGAACAATCTGGCAGCTCCCCACAGGGTGATGGTGCTCACTGTGGTGAGCAGGTGTGAGTGATTAATGGGCAGGTGAAACCACTGCTTTGCTTTGATCAATTCCTTTTTAGCTCTGGGTTGTTACAAAGAAGCAGCTGGATCGGACCGTGCACTAGTCTAACGCCTTATCAGCAGTGTTAGAGGTATTGTTAGATACACCACAAATTGTAAAGAAAGGCTTCATATCACACTCCCTGTTGTCCATGCTTTTATCATCAGTAATAAAATGTTAAAATATGACTCGGGCCACTAAAGGGTGGCCAGAGTCATTTATAGATAAGCAGCTCTCTAATCATGATCAGTTTTTTATTGCCCATAGAGGTAATAATAAAAACACACTGGAGCATTCTTCTTTTTTCAGCTCAAAACTAGATTTTATTTCACTAATTTAAAGGTCATACTGATGTTTGTCAGTGTTTTATCCCATTTACCACAAATCTCTTTCATGATGGAAATACAAACAAAAACATGACCCAACATAACACAACCATTAGATGTTTAATGAAATGGAAATTAAACATGGTCTATAATAATATATATATAATTGTGTCTTCTAACCTTTATTTATTTTTGGTAAAAGCTGTCGCCTATTTTAAAACAACCTGTTTTTAATGAGGAACTGCTCACCGCTCACAGATATTAAGCACATGGTTGCATGCAGACACGTATCAGTTTCAGGAGTCAGAAGCCAAAAACCAGACATTTGATGATGTCAGTGAAGGAGAAACATATGAATCAGACATTATGTGACTTTAATATTTACATTTAATCTTTGTCATTTATATTACGTTACTGCCTGCTGAAAGTTGGTTAGAAACCCCTTTGGGCTTATAAGGTCTGTGAGATGACAAACTCTTGTCAGCACTATATGATTTATATTTGGCTGCCATCTGTTGGCTGACCACAGTAAATAGTCTGAAACACAATTTGAACATCTAAATACTGCAACAGTTGTCTGTCTATTCTGATTATAAGGACCTAACAACCCAATATTCATTCAAGAAGGATCATTCAAAAAGCTTTTATACAGTAAAATGATTCTTTAGTTTACCATTTAGTTTATGAAATCGTATGTCCTACCACATATTAACAGTGATTTATGGAGTAATGAGTGTACTCGTTACAAGGAGTACAGACAAATTAACACATTTCAAACCATGTCATGGATTTGCACACTTACATACACAAATGCTTTTAATTTTTTAAAATAAAAATATGATGCATCATTATTATTTACACTAGCTGGTACATAAAGCAGCTCCAATGACACAGCATTAACATTATGCTTACATGTTAATAGATTACTAATAATGATCAGCATAATAAACTGTTATGGGTAATGCTGCTGCTTGATCCTTGGTGATTTTGAAACTTTAGCTTTCTTAAACAGATGATACTTAATGTTTTACTTAAGCAAGTCTCTCTGGTTGGGGTCCTCCAGGGAGCCTCACAGCATTCCTCTGCCATCTCTACATAATAATAGCATAAAAATGCATAAATTAGAAACACTAATGTACACAAATTTCAAATTTACACTACACCATGTGATAAGAATAAATATGCATATACTACATGTATCTTCAATATTCTTTCTTTGTATTATAACATATATGAAGAGGATGACCACTGAGGCATTGCATGTTATTTTATAAGAGATTTACAAATGATTACTGAATAAGATGAGCAGACAGTATAATTAAATCTGTTTTAATCAGATTCCAGATTTATTTATTTATCTGTTACATGCTCATATTTCTCAAAATGTGCAGTGTAATGCAGTGGTGCAGACTCTAGGGTTTGTTAAAAAGTTTGTGTGCAGCGTGAACCTTCCAGCCAATCAAAACCCAGCACTTCAGTAGCTACTGGGTAATATTTTTGAATATCCCACATTTAGATAATGGCAAGTGTGTGTGGGTCCAGATGAATTACTTTCCCATAGAATAGTGGGTTGTGGATGTTTCTAGAGCTTGGTGCCCTTTTTGTTTCTGGTCCTGGGTTCTTTATTTAATTTAAATGTTATCAACACCTGCACATGCTGTGATTGAAAGTAAAAGTACAGCAAATGCATTGAGCACTGAGTTAGCCTAATCAAACAAAAATGTCGTCACGTGCGTCTGTACCTTTACATTTTAAATGTCCAGCTGCAACTGACTGACTACATCACAACTTGCTGTTTTAAAACGTGTAGAGGCTGATATCTACAATACTGTTTTAGACATATCATGAGAAGAATTTACTGTGAAAAATCTATGTATAATGAGACATCTGACAAAAAATATCAGCAATTAAAGCTGTACTAGTTTATATATAATGTTGGAATATACACCCTATGTATTATGTGCAGCTGGGAAAATGATACACCCCTGAAATAGATGCTGTCCCTGCGTTGGGAGGTGATAAAAACAGATGCAACTTAATGTTGGAAGACACTGGAATTGTATTTATGATATAAACTTCATCAGAAAAATAATTAATCACTAATGATTTGAAATCATATTGTCAAGTAAGTTTAGGTTTAGTGTGTATATGACTGAAGCTGGATTGAACTGCAGTGAGAAGATGCTGCAACAAGACAAGACACAACCCCAGAGTAAAACAGGAAACCAGGGGATTTTGTCTTCAAAATAAAATCTAGATATGGCATTTGGTCCACCAAGGATTAGACTTTTACATGATACATCCTTTACTCCCTCTTCTGGCCCCCATGACCTGCACAAAGATGATAATAACTTGGGATATTATGTCCTTTACTGTTAAGTTTGAAGAATACCATTCATATTTCAAAAATGATTTTTACTTTTTAGCTACATATTTCAAAATGATTTTTACTTTTTAGCTACAGACATTCTAGCTGTAGCTATTCTGTAGGCGCTTACGCTGGGTCACTATGCAAATTGAATGGATGTACAAAATGGATTCTGCTGAATGCAGGGGGAGAACACCTGTAAACGCTGGTTAACAAGTGGATGGCTCACACTTTTGAGAGAAGATGCGGATGGATTATCCTCAGAAGAAATCACTGTTACACTCCCACTCAACACTAGCTGCAGAAAACACTGGCTCTGCTACCAGCACTGAAGTTTTCAATCTGAGATTTGGGTTCATAGTCAAGTCCAATGCAGTCTCAGCACCTAGTTGGCATATGGGAAAGACTTTGGGACGACTGTGGCTCAGGAGGTAGAGCGGGTCGTTTCCTAACCGGAGGATTAGCGGTTCGATTCCCAGCTTGTCCAATCAACATGTCGAAGTGTCCTTGAGCAAGACACCATACCCCCAGTTGCTCCTGGTGATGTCACCGGTGTGGGAGTGTGAATGGCCAAATAATGTGAAAGCGCTTTGAGTGTGCTGTAAAGCATAGAAAGGTGCTATACAAATATAAGACCATTTAGAACTTTAAATTTGAGTTTTGACTCCACACACTATTAGGGGTCCAAAAACATGCAAAGAAAAAAAGAAAAAAGCTTTTTCCAATAAAATCTTTGTCAGGATGTAATTAAATGTATCAACAGTGCAATAAAGGCAAGTATCAGCAATAACGGGTTTACTGTGACTGATGTGCCCTGGAGGTCCACATGCAGCACTGGTAGCACTGGTAGCACTAGTAGCACACCACTCCCAGCTGCCTGCGCTAAAACACTCTCCCACGTCCCATATCCCTTTACAGAGTGGTAATAGTCTCTGTGGCACAGCTGGATCTGATTCTTGAAGTTGGACGTTTCCAGCAGCCCCCTCCCCACCGTGGGGGACTGGAGGTGGGCACTGCGACATCCAGCAGGACGGTTTGCGCCTCAGCCGCCGCTAACTGACGTTTTCCCGCAGACCCAGTCGTCTCGGTCGGTTGATGAAAAGGCCAGAAGCTGGCCAGATTTAGTCAGACTGCGATCGGAAGTGAAGTGGGTTTACTTTTAATACAAGAGCACAGGACACGTGAAACCGTTTGTACAAAAGTTAAAGAGATATGAACCCTGCTGTAGGGCCCCAGTGGTTAAAAACGCGGTGGCAAGCTCCAGAGCTCCTTGGCGGATGGAGCATACACACTCTGCTTCATGTGTGACAAAACACACTGGTTCTGCTTTGGCGTGTAGAGCGTTCGGGGAAGACACAGATTAATAACGCATTTGTCGTTTTCTTTGGTACTTCATTCTGCAAAAGGCGTCACAACATGTGGCTTAACAACGGCTTTATTTTCCAAAAACTTGGACCGGAAGTGCTGCGTCTACGGTAGCCAACGTGACACTGTTGTGGTAAAGAGGTGCAGCTGCGGCAGCTGAGCAGAGGTTGGCGTGAGGACGCGGACAGGAGCGCAGACTGAGCAGCAGTCAGGACAACATAAATGGCCCCGCTGCATACGGACTGAAAGATGGGGCCCGCGGCGTCGCAGCCATGGCCAGATCCACCAACAGAAGCGCCAAGGACAGGGACTCTCGGGTAACCGCCCCCACGGACCGCGGAGAGGCGCGGGACCTGGCCGAGCCCCGGGAACTGTCCCTGGAAGAGGTGCTGAAGTCCTACGAGCAGCCCATCAACGAGGAGCAGGCATGGGCGGTGTGCTACCAGTGCTGCAGCGGGCTCAGGGTGCCCCGCAAGCCGGTCGGGAGAGTCAGCCGGGTGAAAGACCCGGCATCCATCCTCCTGCACCGGGACGGAACCGTGTCGTTACGGCAGGGGGGCCCCGCCCCCGGGACGGACCCGTGTCGTTACGGCAGGAGCCCCGACCCAACGGTAGGACTGCTGCCCCAACTCCCCTCCGCCTGTGGCGGTGTTTAGTGCTCTCACACGAAACTTGGGTGTGAAAAAGTGATGCTTGTTATGTGCAAAGTAAGGCAGCGCTTACACGCACGGGTTTGCGATTGCGGAGAATAATGTCCACAAATTATTTTAGTCAAATTTAGAGACTTTCGCCTGCTCCCGGTGATTTCCGCGGTCTTCTTTCCCTTAAACCACCCTGCAGGCTGCAGCCACAGTGTGGACTGATAGAACATATGTGCCAGATTTCACGGCCGAACCTAAGTGTCTGCCGGCCTTTCCCAAAAGACGTCGAGTCACGGTTTATTAAATAGAAATGTGGGACTAAAACAATGCCACGTTAAGTTCCAGGATTTTATACGGAGCCTGGTGCCCTGGAACAGCCTCCTCTTTGGAGACAAACTGACGTATCAGTGCTATCCTGTCCTGGCCCAAACAAACAACGGTTTTCCTGGAAAATCAGAATAAACCTACATCTAACTTATAGGTAAATATGTAGAACTTAGAGGAGCCCGTACACAAACCCGGGTAGCGAGTCAGTGCCGGAGTTTTGTTGCAGTACCGATGCCATCAAGGATGACTGCTGGTAAATTGTTAATTATTTATTAAGGGCCGCTTCACCCTCGCATTTCCTCTTGCAGCGACTGTTGTGGAGACACCAAAGGGTGGCTCGAAGCACAACGGATCTGACTCATTCTTCTACCTTCTTCCCCTCTCAATTTCTCCTGTACCTGCATAACGTCCCACCCTGGAGTGTTAATGTCCTGGCTGCAGGCCGAAAACTGCTCCAGTAGCCTGACTAGCACAGCCTCAGGTCAAAATTAGTTTGAGAAAGGGTTTCATTTAAGGCGTATATTTCCAAAACCTGCTTTGAGACCCTTGAGAGTCACTTTACATTTGGACATGAGACATACAATATGGTACATCCTGGCCTTTACAACTTTTATTTCCCCAGTCTTTAGCAATTACAGTGTTTTAGAATATCATGTTTCTGTGCAGTTTGTTGAATGCTGAACCAAATCTACTTGAAATTCACAGAAGGTCTTGCCAAGTTATGATCTTTACAACATTTGTTGTACCTTTGCCTCAAAGCAACACAACCAGAACATTTGACTTTCATTGTACTTAGCTCCTGCCAAGAGGCCAGAGGTGGCTGAGCAATATCTAAAACACTGGTGATAAATGTCGAGAGGAGAAGGGATGCTTCCCTGTGCAAAGGGGTGGTCAGAGGTTTGGCCAGGGTGGCGTGAAATGGCTCAGTCTGGGGGTTTGCACATACGCTATCATTACATATCAACAGAAAACACATTCAAACTAAAAATGTTGTTTTCCTGGCTGAAATGTTACTGCACTGAACAAAGAGTAAAGGTGTACTGTAGCATGAGGTCCAGGTGGTTTCTTCATCCCTCCCTCTTTGCCTCTTTCTGATTAATTTTATCCTCATCTTCATCCCCATCTTTTTCCTTTGTTTCCTTCTGTCCTTCTCCATCCCTGCTACTCTCATGTCTCCTTTTCTCTCCATATATACGTATTCCTCCTGAACAGTTATCAGCATTTTCTCACTGAAAAGCTGGAAATGTCATCTCTTTTGAAAAGCCTTCTGATTGCACTGCAGGCCAGTCCAACTCCTGGGACCTAAAGTAGTCAAGATAGGAAAGGACCCCATAGTAAAACACACCGTAAGAGCATGTGGTTAAGTTAAAATAAAACTATCAGTAAAGATTAGACACAGTGATATTTAGAGGTCTAAATCCAGTATATTTTCAGTCTGACAGTCGATGCAGCCTGTTTTTGTACAGATTCTGTGCTGTGCTATGAGAATGAGTGCACTCAGCTGTCAGTCAGACTCCCTGATAGGAGTCACGGGGTGCCTAGACTTTAGAACTGTGAAGGAAAGCCAGTCATCTGACTACAAAACAACTACAAAAATCCCCAAAACAAGAAGAAAAGCAAGACAGAGTTACTAAACCACTAGAAAGAGACAGAAAATGACTGCAAAATGCCAAAAAGAAATACAAAGAGATGCAAAAGAAGTACAAATATGTGCAAAATGGCCACAGAGATGCAAACTGAGTAAAAATGAACAAAATAGCTAAAAACAGATGCAAAACAACTACAGCCTAAAGAGACACAAGCCGACTGTTACTATGTGGCTGCTCAATTTGTAAGTCTTGGTCCTAGAAGTGTCAGAGAGGTAGAGCAATGGCCAAGGGTTTGGCCCAGGTTCGGACACTATAGACTGTGAGCTTGTCAGGTGTGGACACCACACTGTCCGGCCCGGTCCGGGTTCTACAGAGAGGCAGGGGGCTGTTATATGTGCCCAGGGGTTCGTTGTCTCATGATCCCTCCATGCTGCTGTTGAACTGTGCTGCATTTTATAAACAAGAGAAGTGTATGTTATTTAGCCTAGCCTCACTGATACAAACTGGGAAGACAAAATAATAGAAACACCACTCGGTATAATGCTGCACAGTAACAGTATCTCCACTCCAAAATGATCATCAGGTCAGTCAGAACCTCTTTGAAAAACTGAACACAATCACCTTCGTGGAGGAGCAGTTATTACAGGACTGTGCAAGTACGGCCTATGGATTAGCCCCGCCTTCCACCTAGCGAAGGTTACAAGAAGTGCTTTTTGAACAACAAATAGTTATTTCAAACTGCCAGCCACAGAGGTTGCAAACATGTCACTGTGGTCATTAACTCTCATCTCTCACAAGTAGATTGTAGCTCTCTTGTTTATCCATCCATCCATCCATTTTCCTCCGCTTATCCGGAACCGGGTTGCAGGGGCAGCAGTCTGAGCAAAGATGCCCAGACTTCCCTCTCTCCAGACACTTCCTCCAGCTCCTCCGGGGGAATGCCCGAGGTGTTCCCAGGCCAGCCGAGAGACATAGTCCCTCCAGCGTGTCCTGGGTCTTCCCCGGGGTCTCCTCCCGGTGGGACATGCCTGGAACACCTCCCTAGGAAGGCGTCCAGGAGGCATCCGAAACAGATGCCCGAGCCACCTCAGCTGGCTCCTCCCTTGTTTATCTGTCTAGCTTTTCTTGGTGCTTTGCAGATCCACACTAAAATATGAAACCGACTCACTAAAAATGCTGGGTTTTTTTCTCTAAATGTCTGCATTTAAAATATGAACTTAAAAGATGAAATTAGACCCAAAGATATTCAGTTTAGAATGATAGGGGTCACTGATGAACAATTTCAAGGTGGTGGGAAAAACATTTTCTGTAAGTGTCATCCTTACATTCATGTGCACTTTTGGGCCATTTTGTTAGTGGGGTCATGCGTTGTCTGCAGGCATACACATCCATTTTGGCTTTAAGAGAGAAGCAGGGTTCTCTGAGTGCACTGTTAGCTTGGCAGTCTCTCACTGTGTGGTTGTGGCATTTACTTCATTTTGAATAAACATTCAGGTTATACCAACAGCTATAGCAACACTTTGCACATACTGAACACATGCAGTCGTTAGTTTTCTTATCACATGTTGTAGCAGAACTTGTTAGAAATGTTTGTGTTCAGCAGAACAGCCTTCTGATCAAGCTAAAAGCTTGATGTGTTGTGGTCCACAAAATCTCCTGCCACCAGACTGTTTAGGCACTGTCACACAGAACGGACAATAACAAGCAAACCGCCACTCATTTCTCTGGCTCAGAGCTTCAGAGCTGTGCTGAATGTGGAGCTCTCTGAGGCTGTGTTAGCATCCTCTTGCTTTGGGTCTTTGGTTCATCCTTGTGTACCAATCCGACCACTTTTCTTTGCTGTTCCAGTTTCTACCACTCCTTCATCTGTTTCTTTCACTGGCAGTTGTTTTTGGCTTCCTTAAGTCTTTTTGCTTTTCCTTTTCCAGTGTTTTGCTGTTTGTGCCTCTCTTTTAGGTTTCCACAGTTCAGTTTTTAATTGGCCCCTCTTTTGTCATAATGTTCTGGGTTGTTCAGTTTTACATGACTTTTGCCCTTACAGATTTGGCCAGTTTTCCATGGTTTCCAAAACATGACAGGCTCCACGCAGTGGTCAAGATATTGCTCAGTCCCTGGGTTTTTAAAGATGCTTATGGGGCCCTGTGACAGGGTAGGGGCCACTTGTTTGAAAGTGGCAATAGTATCTGTCCATGGGGAAAAAGCCTTGTACTAGCCACAATACTGGGTTACCTTTGGTATATAACTTTAAATAACTTTATAATAGGCAGTATAGTAAATGTGTGGCCAGTCTGCCCTTGCCTTATAGAGTTACTACAGTTTTAAGGGTTGTGTGCCAGCCAAATAGTTTTTAAAATATTGGATACATAATGCCAATAGCTCTCCATGAAGTCAAATTATAGTATTTTGACAATCATTAAAGAAATACCCTATATAAAATAACATTTTATAGGCGCTAACTAAGACAATTGTGCTGGTAACTTTTTGAGCAATTCAAATTTTGGCTCTGTTACTTTAAAGGTTGAGCTGTTCATTCATGGCCTTGGACACAAAGGCAATCTTGTCACTACAAGGTGCATGTAGTAGCTGTTTTAGAGCTTCATCACTTCATCAGCAGATGGCCACACTTTTCCTTAAGAGCAGAACAGAGTATTATTATAACACGTGGTTTGTTGTGTTATCGTTAACACCAACCAGTGTGTTCTAAGGACTTTTCTAAAGCTTGTTTTTCCTTGCTAGCAAAGAACAGAATGTACTAGAAAAATGCATTTTCTTCAGAAAATGCACATGGATGCTGAGTTCTGAAAAATCGCCCTGAAAATGCTGAACATTTTGACACCTGAACGGTTTTTCTAGCTGAAATTATGCTGAAATAGAATTTTCCCATTCATTTGAATGGGGCAAGATTTTCAAAATAAAACTAAATATTTCAAAAGTATGACGTTTTGAAAACTTCTGAATAGAAGCATGAATGTCCTGGAAGAGCTGAACATTTTGATAGCTGAAAGTATGCAGAAGTAAAAATTTCCCCATTCATTTGGATGGAGCAAGATTTTC